GGCCAGGAAAGCCATGTCGACACGGCCTGCCACGATTTCAGGAACGATCTGCCCCTGTCCCTTGAACGGCACATGCAGTAGCGAGACACCCGCGCGCGACGCAAAGTACTCGGTCGTCAGGTGGTGCGGCGAGCCTACGCCGGCCGTGCCGTAGCTCAGCTTGCCGGGGTTGGCCTTGGCGTAGCTGATGAGTGCAGGCAGTGTTTTGGGAACCACTTCAGGGCTGGTGACCAGCGCCACCGGCAGGCCGGCCGCCAGGGTGATGGGCACGAAGTCCTTGTACACGTCGTACGGCACCTGTGCCGAAAGGCCGGGGTTGGTGACCAGCGTGTTCGACACCACCAGCAGGGTGTAGCCATCCGGCGGGCTCTTGGCGACAGCGCTGATGCCGATGTTGCCGCTGGCGCCCGCGCGGTTGTCCACGACAAAGGCCTGGCCGAATTTTTTCTGCAGAGCGTTGCCGAGCTCGCGCGCGAAGGCATCGTTTCCGCCGCCGGGCGGGAATGGGACGACCAGCTTGACGGGGCGGTCTGGCCAGACACCTGCCGCAGCCGTTTGTGCCTGCGCGGTGTGCGTCACTGCCATGGCGGCTGCCGCGCATGCCAGCAGGGCCAAGCTGCGGCGCAATGAAGAATGTTTCTGGATGTTCATGCGTGTTCTCCGGTGGTCATTCGGGTTTGATTTTGGCGATTTGCACGACGTCGGACCACTTGCGTAGCTCCGCGGTCACAAAGCCCTTGAGTTGCTCCGGGCCGGACGTGCGGACCGGGTCGAAGCCGATGTCATACAGGCGCTGGCGTATGGCCGCGTCGTTGACGGCGGTGTTGAAGGCCTGCGCGAGTTTGTCGACGATGGGGCGCGGTGTTTTAGCCGGCGCGAAGATGCCGCTCCATGAATAGGCTTCGACTGCAAAACCCTGCTCGCGCAAGGTCGGCAGGTCTGGCGCCGCGTTCGAGCGCGCAAGGCTGGCGACACCGATGCGCTTGAGCGCGCCGGCCTTGACGTGCGGGTTGGTGGCGGCAAAGGTGTCAAACATCATCACAGTGCGCCCGGCGACGAGATCGATCATGGCAGGGCCTGAGCCTTTGTACGGCACATGCAGGATGTCCACGTCGGCATTCTTCTTGAACAGCTCGCCGGCCAGGTGCAGCGGCGCGCCCGTGCCGGACGAGGCATAGGCCAGCTGGCCGGGCCGCGTCTTCAGGTAGGCCACCAGTTCCTTGACGTTGTTGGCGGGAATGGAGGGGTGGACCACCAGCACCAGCGGCACTTCGGCGATCAGGGCCACCGGCTCGAAACTGGTTTGCGCATCAAAGGGCAGGCTTTTGAACATCGCCTGGTTCATGCCGTGCGTGGCTGCAGTGCCCAGCAGCAGGGTGTAGCCGTCAGGCGGCGAGCCTGCGACTGCCGCAGCGGCGATGTTGCCCGAGGCACCTGCACGGTTGTCGATGACCACAGGCTGCCCCAGCAGCTCGTTCAGTTTGGGCAGCAGGTTGCGGATGAAGATG